AAATTCAAATACGTTTGACAAGAAATTATTTAAAAATGTTTTAAAAAAAGAAAATTATTTAATTATAACTTTTAAAATTAGCCAAATATGATCTAGACGAGTGTCTTTAACAAGCAATATAAACTCACAAAGAGTACTTGTAATTTACCAAATTTTCATCACGGGACTAGACCTGATTATGTGTTACAGCCTAAGGCCACTTTAAAGCAGTTCGATTCATTTCAAAATCAAAATGTTGATGGATTCAAGTGAACCCAAATCATCAGTTTCTAAAAATTGATTTCGATTGGATTTCGTAGTTTGACGATTTCATTAGTCAACTTTAATTTCTATAATATTAATGTTTTAACATTCATATATATGAATATAGTTTGAGTTGTGCTGCTGTGTCAGGTCTGTAAAAGACCTGGCACAGCCATGTGAGATAGGGTGGGTGGGTGTTTTAACATTTTTGGGGGGTTTTTTTAATGAGTTAGGTCCTCGGGACCCACCTCATGTGAGATAGTCTGTACAAAATCTGTGAACCAAAATCTGGTAGAGTAGAATAATTCATATAGTTTTATTTTTAACTATTTAATATTTATATATGTAAAGTTTATCTAAAGTTTTAAAATTTCAAGACAAACCGTCGAACCCTATTACACAAAAGAAGACTAATATTTGTAAGTTATAACATTTCATGAATTCACAATTTTTAAACCATATTTTTTTATCAACTTTTATTAAAATCTATATAAAATCTAATTCTTAAGAAAATCAAAAGTGTACTTTCAAAAAATATAAATATAAAGAGTGTTAATAGATTTCTCGCAAGCGACCTACAAGTCAACACTCGTCCATACAATATGTGAAGAAGAAAAATACATTATTATTATTATGATGATAATCTCAAGAATGGATAATCATCTTCAACGAACGCGAAATAGTGAACAAAATAAACCGATCAAAAACAAGTACTGCAACACAATCATACATACATTAAATGTATTTTCTATATTCCATCTCCTAAAGCGCGCAATCGTAATGCGGAAATCGAAACTGTTTCTCCGTGTAGTCGCAAGGTTAAATTTGAAAAATACAGATCTGTAGTTGCGGAGAAAAAGTGAAATGTTGCTCACGTATATCTTGGCTTGATCCACTTCCGCTCTGATTTCTCTCACAGCCGTCGATTCGATCTTCGCTAAATCATCACAACAAGAACTCAGATCTTGTTTAGCGGCGAAGATCGAGTTAATCATGTCGCTCCTTTGCTCGTCGGTCTGCGTTCTCACATCAGGATTGACCTGGAAAATCCCCAAAGTTTGACTGAGTTGACTCATCGATTTCCGCACTAGACTCGAGCAATTTTTGAACGCTGACTCGGTTTGATTGTCGATGAGTGGAGTTATGCTAGTGAGTTCTTCTATGGCAATATCTAGAGAGAGTGAGAAAAGTTGATTCGGTTCTGTTTTGGGTTCAGGTTTGATTTTGAAATTGAGTGAATTTGAGCAATCGAAAGGGAAATATGTGTAAGAGCAAAATGAATCGATTGCTGGATTTGAATGGATTATATTGGATGTCTCCATATATTGCTCGTGCGAGAGAGAGATGATTATTGCGCCCATGATTAATCCAACTAAGATGATCAAGGAGAACAAAGTGATGATCAGCCTATTGTTTCTTTTGCGGAATGATGATAAATGATCATCTTCTTCTTGAAGGAGGCTTGACTTGAATCTGTTGCTCGTCGACTCCATGGATCAAACAAATTCGAAGGTAATTGAGAAATGTGTTGTGATATTGTTATTGTTATATATTATTGAGTGCGTGAATAAATGACTTTTTCCAATAAGAAATAATAGTCTTGGTCAACTAGGTCAATTTAATAATATTATACTCAACTATTCTAGTGGAATTTGAACATGTATTGTAAATTTGAGTGTTAGACATGGCAGAGTACAAAAAACTATAGTCAATCACTGGTCGTGATTGATTATAGATTCATAGAGGTAGATCGATTGATTAAGGACAAAAGTGCGCATCTACTATCTTGACCCAGATAATCGTTATGGGCTCGGCTATCGATGATGATCAACCAAGAAATCTTTCGAATGGTGGTCTAAAAATTCATTGAACGACGGTTATTTATGATATCAGAAAGTTTAATTGACCTTTATGATATTCTCGCCCTCATTATTTCTGTCCCATATCATGGAAACCTTAGGACATCTGTCCTATGTGCGCAAAACTACCTCTTAACATGTCACCGTGTAGTTATGACATCAGAAAATCTAATTGACCTTTCTGATATTCTAATCCTCATTATTTCTATCGAATATCATGAAAACCTTTGGGCATTTGTCCTATGGTAAATTCTCTATTGAAATACTACTTGGTTCAATTACATACATATTTTTCTCTTCCATAAGAGTTGTTAACTGATTCTTTTTGCAGGACTTTGTTGATTGAGAAAGTGTAATCGTCCGAACGGACAAAATCAACCAGCGTCACTTGATATTTTATAATTTTTTTAAATAAAAATAAGTTTTTTGATGAAAACTTTAAAATTAAAATTATTTTCATTTGAACCTAGTAAAGCTGTAAAGGATTATCAACCAGCGTCACTTGATATTTTATATTTTTTTTAAATAAAAATAAGTTTTTTGATGAAAACTTTAAAATTAAAATTTTTTTCTTTTGAACCTAGTATAGCTGTAAAGGATATTTCATGGAAAAATGGGCAGAATACAAGTTCTCAACAATGTTTTTGATGATACTACTCTTAGGCTCGGATATGAGGGGTTTGGGGTCGAGTGCAAATCATACCTATGTCCATCCAGGACATCGAGGTCGGGTGCCTCTTTCTCAGGACCATGAACCTCGACCTCACAACCAGCAAACGGTCAACTTTGCTCTACCTCGATGACCGTGGCCTTCCACCAGGCTCACTCCGACGTCCAATGTCTCACAGTAACCAGGAGTCCTCTATCATGCTAAGGTCATGATGAGTTCAATTCTATCTGGTATGTGTAGCGTTATATATGCACTTTTGCACACATTATTTACTTTGTAATCTTATGCACACATTCTCCCCAATTACTTTTTGACTTAAGCATCGAAAGGACTGTGGAAATAACTCCTCTAGAGAAAGTTGTTCGAATTTCGTATTCGTGTTTGTGTTTTTCAGCTCAAAATCAGATCATCCAAAGTACGATTTTTGATAGAATCAATTCGACTTTGTTTTAGATTTCTTCTTCAATAATTTTGGTCAAAGATTCTTTTGTATCATTGTATAACCGTTTTCTTCTCCCCATTATTGTCGAGGGTGATGGATTGCTACCATGGAATAATTTCAAAAGAGAAATTTTTACTATGATCTTCTTAGAAGGGTAAAATTGAAAAATAACTGCTTTCAAATCCTATTTTTCGATTTTTAATTAAAATAAAGATAAGAAAAAAATGTAAACGATGACATTTTTTTTTTTTTTCATTCTCTTTCATTTCAATCCTCTGATACAAATTTCTCAAGAAATAATTATGATAATCATCTTATACGGGTGCGAAATAGTGCACGAAACAGAAAGATTAAGAACGAGTACATTGACACAGCCATGCATATAGCAAATACGGTTTTGAGATCCCAATTGCTGTTCGTGGTCGCCAATCGAAAGTTGGTAAATACAGATTCGTAATTGAAGAGAAAATCTGCGCTGTTGCTCACATGCACCATAGCTTCATGCACTTTCTCTCCAATTTCACCCACAGCCGTCGATTCACAACCGTGTTTCAGTTCTTGTTCTGCAGCGATGATCCACTTCGTCATCTTACTCCTCTGTTCATCAGTCAGTGTTTCCACGTCCGGGTTGACCCGCAACGTTCGCAAAGTCTGGTTGAGTTGACTCACTGCTTCCTGCAATGTACTCGAGCAAGTTTTGAACTCTGAGTCAATCTCGATCTGAGTCGAGTTCGAGATCAGGTGAGTTATGCTAGCGAGTGCTTTCAGGGCAATATCAAGAGAGAATGAGAAGAGCTGATTAGGATCTGTTTCCGGTTTGATGATGGACATTAGGGAATTTGAGCAACCAAGAGGGTGATTTGATACTGAACAATATGCATTGATTGCTGGATTTGAATCGATTAATCTGGACTCTGTAGATTCATCAAGCAAGAGAGAGATGATTAAGGCGCCTATTACTAGTCCTAATAAGATGATTAAGGAAAAGAAAAGGATAATTCAAATATGTTCAAAGTTCGCTTATTAATCTCAGAAATAACTTATGAATTTTCAAAGCTATGTCGAATGTACTCTTTAAATTTCATTTTAACTTCATTAAACGCCCGTTTGGCCCTCATTATTTCACAATATAATCAGAAGAATTGTCATTTTTTGAAGAATGAGTAGTTAAAAAAAGAAAGAATTTATTTTGAATTTACGTGTAATATCATTTTATTGAAAAATTTGTAGTTGATAAAAAGAGAGATAAAAATGAATTATAATTTAATAGAAAATAATGAGGGGCAAACGCGAGTTAAAAGCAATCTTTCTTTGTTTTATTTTTATTGGATTTGTGGGATTCTTCCGTTGACAGTCTTTGTCGGACTGCATGTGATTTGGGGATGGAAAGAGGAAGTTTCGATGAAGGATATAAGTAGGTAGTAAACAAAAAAATAGACTTGTTTTAATTTGGTCAATGATTTCTGGTAGCACTTTAAAATATAAAAAAATATAGAGTTGGCGTTTTGTTCTCTCCATGACTCCATTGTTGTTGGTGAATGAATGCAATCCACGACCCAAAAAATAAATGGATTCCTGGGTCAAGACGACTTTGGGAGTCATAATTCTTTGGGAATACAGTGGTTTCAAAAGAAAAATGAAAAATATTGTTTGCATTTCATTAATCACATATGTTGACCTTGATTTCCAGTGGGATCAATAGATTTCGGCTTGATTCATGTTTATGGGTAAGGTTCATGTACACATGAACAAATCGTTAGACGTACGTAGCCTTTTTACGGTGATGAGGAGGCGATCGTGAATACTCCGAGATCAAGTCAGATAACTATAGATGTGCATTTGGCTCGAAATGAATAGTAGACGTAAGCTACAAGGATGTGTATGATATTTGGTTCAAGCGAGAATGAAAAGTTAAGTTACTATTAAGAGTGTAAAATAGCATTCACCTGGAAATGATTAGAAGTCCCTGTTTGGTATTAGATAAAAATTCGAATTTTAATCTAAGTCAAGATTTATAATTAGTTTTAACAACACATTTTATTGGACTCAATTTTTCAACCACAAATTTTATCAACTTTTATGAAAATGTACTAAGAATATAATCTTAATCCCTACCAAACATGGCTAAATATGAGTTTTTATAGTAAAAGAGAATATGTTGTTATCGTTGAATTAATGCCTCTTCACCTCTAGGTGTCTACGCTTCACTATCATAAGAGTCAACTCTGCAGTCGTAGGTTGGGATAGCATTTAATGATTCTGAAAAGTGATCATCGTGTTATCCAAATCTGGCATCTAAAAAGTAGACTGACAAGTTAACTAAAAAATCTCTGTCGTAGACATACCAAATCAATCAATCATATGAAAAGATCTCGTACGAAGAATTTCTTGAACGAGGCAAAGTTGTGGAGATGCCTTGTGCATCAAAGGCTTATCAACACTTCGCCTTAATCATTGAGGTTCGACTTCTTCTTGCCGTTTCGATTGAGGTGAAGGCATCACTTTGACTTCCTTTATTAGATGGTCTCGATTAGATCAGACAAGCAAGAAATGTAAAGTGTGGTTCTTAGATGGCTGCTTATTTCTTTCCTAATTGATTGTCACATGGTCAACATTAGGAGCCTCGTAAGACAATACGTAACAACATATAACGTTGATGTATCTGTTGTTTCCGGTAAACATTAGTTAGTATCACAAAGCATAGTAATAACTTACATTAGGCCGTTCATAGCATTCATAGTAGTTTAATTGATAATTTTTTTCAACAAAAAATAACTCGACAAGTATTAAAAAATTTTAACCCCAAAAATTACGTCGATCTCGTTCGATTCATGTAAATACAAATACTTATGTATTTCATAAACTATGTTTGGACACATCAATGACCACGTAAAACCATACCGTACAACACTATCAAGAACAAGTACAACCCACAATAGAGAAACAAAATAAACCCATAATCAAAACCATAACGAGGGTAATAATAATAATCACTCACGATAATAGGACTATAGAACTCGTCAAGAATGTAATCTTTCATAAGAAATAATCCCATCCAATTAGCCAAACACATCTTTGCTTTATCCACCTTAGATTTCACTTCATTTACTACCATTTTCTCACGTTTAATCTTCACCATTGACTCAACGTCTTGTAATGCAGAGAAACAATCCTCTGCACCGGCCGCTGCAGCCATGTTCCAGGCCTTTATATCATCAGTTTCACTATAAGTCAACGCTTCGATCTCCAAGTCCACCAGGACCAGGTCAACGACCAGATTTGCCAGTGAATGGTTGAGTAGAATCAGTGAGCGACTCAGCAGAGATGCACACTTATGGAAAGTTGACATGGTGGTGGATGACTCACTCGAGATTGAAATCATCGCTTTGGATATTGAATTGTTGCTGTTTTTGAGTTCGGTGAGGGCAATTTGAAGTGAGGCGGAGAAAATTGGGATGGGATTGGATGCAATTGAGCTTCGATTGATTAAGGGGAACATTGAACTGAAGCACAAATCGGGGTAAATTGTTAAGTGACAGTAGAATTTGCTTGATCCTTCAGAGTAAAGGTTAGAGGTTTTGGGTTTTGACGAGCGATTCTGTACGAAGAACAAGATTCCAGCGGTGGCGATTAAGGTGAANAATTAAATAACACAAATGACACAAATACCCTTCAACAATTCTTTTGGCAAAGTAAAAAAAGGGGCAAATTGGACTTTGCACCATTTTGGTGTTTTGGTCAAAAAATGAATAGTGTTGCACCACAAAATTTGGTGCCACATTGGAGCACTTTTGCACCAAATTTTGGTGCATTTTAGTGTTTTGGTATCTCGATTGGAGACACCCTTACATGCTAGACTTGATTATGAATATCCATAGAAGTTAAGATCAATTCTATTCAGCTCTGTTTGGTACACATTATTTTTTTCATTCTCATTCTTCTACTCATTTTCATCCACACATTCTTCAATAAAATAATATTTTTCATCACATCAATAACTTTTCCTTCTTTTTCAACCACAAATTCTCTATCAATCTACTATTTCAGAATACATTCTTTCAAAATAATGTGGCTCAAACATACCCTTAATTATGAGTAATGTTACGTAGCTCCATTAGGTTACAACCCCAGTCTATGTGACTCTAAACGATAGACTAAATGTTATTTAATTTCACCTATCATTTAATGTCACATTAACGCCACCTAGACTGGGGTTGTAATCCCAGTAGGGTTAAATAACATTACTCTTTAATTATAGAATAAAGCCACTTGTACAGGCTAGAAAACAGATACAGTACAAACTGACTAACTTGACAGTGTATGTGTGTATGTTTTTATTTTTGGAGTATGGGTTCTAATCAACCTTACGTGAAGGCCAATGAAATTCCAATGGTTACATTTAGTGTTATCGCTCGATTCTTCGATCCAAAATATTGTGTTATGTGAATTGTGATGAATCTCTATAAGTTCAACATTGTACTAGCTAGCAAGAAAATGTGGATGTTATCTATATATATATATATATAAAAACAGAAGTGCCGTCAAAAAAAATTTCCCGCCAAAATGTACTTTACTCTTATGGAATTTTAATTAAAGTCCGTCTACCCATTAGTCAAACATTATAGCATGCTTTTATTGATAGTAACAATTTCATTTGTTGAGTTTTGTGTTCATTAAATCATTCT